ATTTCAGCTTTGGGAAACTTTGAAGCATTTAAATGACTATTTTTATCATCAATTAGTCTGCTGATTATTTTCTTGATTTTAAAGCAACTATAATCTATATTTCTATAATAACAATGCATAAAATGACAATAGGAAAACAATGTGATGACATGAAAGGGGCTTTATAGAGCTTTATAGCAAGTTTCATCTCATTATTGATCTGCCCAGCTCACACACTCAACTTTCACACCTGCTCAGCACCAAATGGCAGTCAGACAAACTTAGTGACCTGCTGATGAACATAGTCGAGCCTTAAGCAGCTAGCCAGATATTCTTCTCAGGAAATGGTGGAGACCAAAAACAGAGCTAAGAGCAAGTGAATATGGGACTTAGATGCACTTGGCAAGAAACATGACTCCAGATGAATGATCATGTTGCTCTGTGCTGGATGTCTAAATAAGCAATCGTTTGCTTACAAGTTAGGCATATCAACTTAAAAGGTGTTGATATGTCATTCACATTCTCATGATGGTTGTGTTCACGACAAAAAACTCTCAGAAAAGCAATAATTGCAGGTCTAAGTTTTTAAAAATGGATAAAATGTCAGAAATAGTGAAACACAATTCCAAAAATCAAGGTAATGTTGTCCCCAACCAGAAAATTAAGTAACTATTATATATGACAAAATAAAGAACCAAATTAAAGTTGGAACTTTAGCAATTATAACCCATAGTTTCAGCTTGGACTGTAATTGTGTGCTCCTTTCAAGCATATAACGATGACACGAAAGACTAGAGTTTAGTGTACAGAATGCAGAATGAACCTAAACATTGTGTACAACTGCTTGTCTGAGCTTTTCATGTGGGCCAGTAGTGTTTCATATTGTAGAAAGATTTTTTAGGCAGACAGAAGATTTGGGGAAGTTGCCATTTTCCTTGGATTTTCCATTTAGCTCAACAGAAAGCTGGCCCCAAGCAGCAGCTTTCAGCCGACATCGGAGAAGAGGTCTGTGATCTGTGCAGAGCAGGAAAACAGCCTCAGTCTGATTTGGTTTAATGCACAGAAATAGAAATGCAGAAATTTGTTTTTTTCTCTTTCCTGTGTAAACATGCATTTCCACATTTGACTTTAGACCCCCACCTACAGCTAAATTTAAAGTTGATGTAAAAACTTTACTTCTATCAAAGGCACCGTACTTTACTATACGATGGTAGTTAAGTAGGAGTGGCCCCTAAAACAGACTGGTGTTGCTTTTTATCACCTGCTCATGAATTTAAGCCCAGTCTGATCCTGGGCGCTCTCTGCAGAGTGGGTCTTCCTCTCTTCTGGATCGTCTGAAACTCTCTTTTGAAAGTCTTCAGATTGGTAGCAGCTGTGGTTGCTGGCTGGGTTCAAGCTGTAGGAGGCTGCGGCAGGCCAGCGGGGAGGAGCTCCAACATCTGGAAAAGAAGGAAAGCTGGCTGAAGCACAGAGACGAGGGCCTAGCAACATGAATACTCTCTGCGCCAATCCGGCCTCTACACTGTTTGCGAGTTCACTGTTTGCCTTAATGTAAATAAACGTTTTCAGGTGTCAGTGTTTCTGGATTAGCTTTGAGCCACAGCCTCTGAAATATTCATTTCATTTAAAATCGTGCATTTGCTGGATAGAGAGTTCTGGACAGAGTGGTTGAGACAGTGGAAAGAGTGGACTGCTTTTTTTAAGAGCCGACCCTCTGGGCCTCTCCTGATGTAAGAGCGTGTCTAAACATGTGGGAGCCGCCTGCGAGAGGAAAAAGGAGGACGGGGGTTGAGGTGGTGCTTGTGCTGGTCAAGAAAAACTTAAATTCCTCTTCAGATCTGCCCATTTTAGCTTTTTCCATAAAGTTGAATACTTTCTTAGTTAAATTACAGGTCACATTTCCTCTTCAGTTTATCTGTAGTTACTTTCTGCAATCACACAGACATTTTGTTCAAAGTTTAAATCTTTGCAGTACAGTATATTAAATGCAGCAAGTGGTAAGCTTGTTACATTTGTTTACACTGGTGATACATTTTTATAGCCATGGTCAATTAAAACCACCATTACATTTGAAACTGAATTTCTCTCTTTTTTTTACAATAATGGGGGTACCACCAGGTATTATTTATAAAGGGCTTATAAGTGATAGCTAAAGGCTTCATTAATCATTTTTGTTCAGTTTATTCGACAGGACCAGTAGAAGGACATCAAATCATACACAACTGCAAAATTTCAAGACCTATTTAGGGGTAGAAAAGAGGCAAGAGTCCTGTGACCAGGTAACATTATCCTTCCCACAAACCAACACAACAAACACAAATGTCATCAATCAAAGTGCCCCAAATCAGTTTTTTTAGAGTGGTGGTGGTCACTTATTATTTTAATATGGGTCTAATACCTGGCACCACAGGACCTAAAAGATCAGGTACCCATTTTGGTGTTACACCTCAGCAAGAACAAGTCAATACAATGTTAATGAGGACAATTTTAGTTTAGCACGTTGTGAAAAAAACAAAACATTTGGCTATCCAGCTCTAGCATAACTTTTTATCCTTTAATTAATCACAAAACCCCTACAATGAAAGTTTGACCACTTACCTTCTGGAAAAGTACTGCATATACTCTGGACTGAAATGAATGTATGCATTAACATCTTTTGAATATGCAGAACTGCCGGCTATGGCTAATTATGAAAATGTGTAAGTCTCTAAACTATAATGAGTTTATATCCCTAACGCTTCATGCTGTGGGTATATTCTATCTATTTTTCACAACCAAAACCTGCAACCCAAACATTCTTCTCACAAATATCTTTTTGCAAAAACTCATCAATTGAAGCCATTAGTCACAAATTATAAACACTTTATAAAGTATCTGTATCACTGAGATCAGTTTTATGTTGCATGTCATGGCATATGAAATATTATGAAGTTTAACAAGACAAGACATCCTCCTTTTCTCCCTCCATCTGTCTGTCCTGTCTCTTTTGGCGATCTCTCCTCGCTCACAGTCCCACAACATCTCCAAACGTTCATCTTAACAGCGTTCACTGTGGCCAAGAATACCATATTATTCAGCTGGAAAGACAGAACTAGACTATCCATAAGACCATTCAAAACCTACAAAAGCTCACATCTACCCTACAAGACAATCTGACCCCAGTTCCAAACACCTGGTCTCCTTTAATGCAGTTCATCCAGAACTGATTCCTCTACACTCAGATCTTCTCAACTCTATTATTGTAACTCAAACAGACAAAACATTCCACACATATTGTGAATGCCCAACGCCGCCCATCAATACTTTTTTTTTTTCGTTATCTCCTCATGTCCCTGTATTTCTGCTGGTTTTTTGTAAATTATTTGGTTTTCTAAAGATTCTCTTGTTATCCAAGAAGAAGAAGTTAAACAAGACTAAAAGTCTACAACCATGCTAGCAACTCGGCGAAGTTTCACTTAAACACAGTGGTGCTTTGAGCTAGATATTAACATCAACATGCTAACATGCTCACAGGTACAATGTAATGTAGTCCTTATTCCTCATTATGGAATTGTGTTCACAATTTTAAACTCAAAGGACAACTGAGGATAATGGGAAAGTTATTTGTTTTTCAAGTGTTTGCACGTAAACCAAGTAATTGGACAAAATACAATATTAACCTGATGATTAAACTATATGATAAGAAAAGTAGTATTACCAAAGTTATTACAATTCAATCTGAGGGGAATGTGCAGACCAAAGGTCATGGTAATCCATCCAGTAACTGTCAGAGACATCTCACTATGTTAATCCTGGGTGGCACTACAGGAAAAGCCACTAGGATTTATCCTCTGGGGACCATAAATGCTCAAAATTTCATGACAATCCATGAAATAGTTGTTGAGATATTTCAGTCTGGACCAAACCAACAGGCCCACATTGCCATCCCTTGAGCCACGCTGCTAGCATGGCTATAAAAGAGCTCAAAAGGTGGCTAAACTGAATTGAGGTGGGTTTGTTTATAGCTTTGTGAGTCAGTCAGAGCGCAGCATAGGAAAGTAAGAGTTGCTGTCACGTTTATTTCTGGTGAAATACTGCACATCATGCCATGGTAATTATATGTTATTGCCTACTAAACTTCCAGCCAGGCAAAGTCAATATAATTAACTCCTCTCCCTTCCATTTTGCTCCTCATTCCTTGAACTTGCCTTAGTTTTGGGCCTTTTTTTATTCAGAAGCATTGAAAGGAAAGTGGTAACAGTAGCAACTTGCACATCAGAGCTCCAGCAGCCAGGAGAGCTTTGCCTGGTTTTGTACAGCAGAGGGATGGAGGATAACAGAGCAAGAGAGAGGTACTGGCATCCCACCGGCTGCCTGGACAGAGAGGGCATTCTTCTCCTAGGATCCCCTCCGTCGTCTCCGACAGACCACAGTTTGTCCGCCAATCTGCCCACCGTTTACTGAGGAAATGTTCACTTAGTGCAGGAAGTCTGAGGTTTCGCCCCATACGTTTGATTTCAGGAGTTACTCAAACAACACTGGGGTTATAAGTCAGGTCAGAACAACATAGGTGGGAACTGGGAAACCCAGAGGGGACTTACATTCTCAGTTCACCAGTAAGTGATATATAAATACTCCCAACCATTATATCTGATGCTAATGATTCTTTTTGATAGACTAATGATTTGTTATGGGTAATATTTGGTGTAATCATATGATCTACAAATATAGAATTCTAGATGATGAGGCTTTCTTAATCATTTCCTGTTTAATTCAAATCTCTTCAACTGTTCTTATCAGTTATAGAAATGTTTGGGGAAAACAGTTTCTTACTATTTAACAATGACTTCAGGATCTTGGAAAGGTTAAAGTGATAGAGCTAGCAAATTGTTACACAAAGCTAATTACGTCATTGTTTTCCAGTGTTCATAAATATCTATATCAGTTTTAGCACATTGAAAATTTTGTGTTTTGAGCATTCAAATGGGTAATAAGAGTTTTTAATTTGGTTTATCAAATGTATTGAGTATACACAAGAAAGAATACAAATATGCATTTTGCATAATTCTAAAGCAAACAGTAAAAATATGTAAAGAAAAGAAAGAACATCTCAAAAAAATCTGTACAAATCTTTCAAAGCAATTACACTCATGATTAATGATTATTGATATTTCTTAGTTTTACATAAAGGCAAGATAACATGAGATGAAATTCTACCTAATACAGTAAAACTATTCCCCAATACAGCACATTTTAAGATTACTATATACCTCAATACAAATGTACAAAAATGGAGTAATAGCATTTTACCTAGAAATAAGATAATTAAATGAATGAAAGTTGTATGTTTATGTGAACACAATTACAATATGAAAAGCACTGCAAGCTAAAAGATTACAATTTTAAAGATTAACTTAAACTAAATAGTAAACATTTCACATAAAATGCTGCAGAGTTACACAGGGGTATTGAATAGCCAATATGGTTATTCAACTCAAGATATTGTGCATTATGAGCATTTAAATACTTTGTGGTTACATGTGTTTACCTTCTCTAATACTGAAAACTCACCAAAACTATCCCCAGCCCCATACACAACTACTATTGTTTAATACAACTACAACTAATTATTGTAAATAAATAAGATTAAATCTTGTGAAAATCCAGTAGTAGTCTCGATTGTGGCTCCCTGTTTAATAAATTAGTATTAATCGTAGCCAAAATCTGGTAGATTACTGGCTTCAGTGCTCCATGCTATGCTAACGCTTCAGCATATTGTAGTTCCATGTTAAGTCTTATTTCACAATTAGCGCAGGCAATATCCTCAACAGCAAACAAAGTTAGAACTTTTAGCAGATCTAAGGTAAATATTATGAAGTATGATGCAACAATATACACTTTTAGTCTGTGAGCTTGTGAAGTTGCTTAAGGCAAGTCAGTCTAGTATGCTGGCATAGATCACCAGACTGACTGATCCACCAGGAACACATGACGGTGTGACGGCCTCAGCTCAGAAAACTAATAATTCTTATTGTCTGTTTGTCATGTTTACTATTTTGAAACCGGCCACAGAGTTCATTGCAGTGGAGTACGAACAGGATATAACATTTGTTCCTTATAACTTTCAGAAATGTTCACTATTGGCATTAGTATGTGTAGACTTTATAATATAAAGAACAGATCTGGGACTCAGCGGTGGTGTGTTCCTTTTAGCTTCCCACCACAATCAAGGGTCCTTTTGCACCAGGTTTGTGCAGTTTCATTATTGTCCTGCAGGGGAAGTAGCGAGCACTCTCACTGCAGCTTCTTCTTAGCCAGCTGGGCCAACTCACTGGCTTTCCTCCTCTTCAGCTTCTTCTTGAGGAGGAGCAAGTCGATGTAGACAATGTGATCTAACACTGCAGAGGCGCAGAGGAGTCCACCATGCAGAGCGCCTGCTATCCCACAACTGAACACGTCTTGACCTAGAACAGACAGACACACATACTGTACAACCCGTTGGATGAGGCAAGACTACCTGGAGTCTGGATTCAAATTACTGTCTTTCCCTTTAGATAATGTTTTTTTTCTCACAAGCTTTAATTCTTTCAGCTTTGAGACTTTCTTACAATTATTTAAGTGTTTTAACTTTAAACTAATCCAACAAAAACTGGCAAGTTTGGCATTAAAAAAATTACACTGCAAAGAAATTCCCAATTTAAAACAGTGAATCAATCTTAGGGCTTGTTGAGACATTTCTATGCCTGTGAAAACCTCACACAATCACAAAAGAATTATTGTCTGTGCTTGCAGAACATAAAAGCCTTGGCCAAGTTTGAAACTTTTCATACCTGAGATGTAGAGGTTTTTGACAGGGGTGTTGCACCTGTTCCTTGCCACAGCCTCGGCATGGAAACGCTCTAGGTTGTGCTCAGCCGAGTACATGGCCCCACGTTGGGCACCCAAATAGTGTATGTTGGTCAGTGGGGTTGCCACATCCTGGAAAACCAACTGAAAAACAAATCATACAGACATTACAATACAGACTTTAGTCAGACAGGTAACAAACACATATTAAAAAAGCATGTTAAGGTTTACCTACAGTAAACATAGCAATAAATGGATCATTTTTATGTAATGTAATTTGAATGTACACACACAGATAATAGAAACATACTTAAACATGCCTGCATTTACAGAGAATGACCGATCCTACCTTGTCTTTGATTTTAGGGAACAAAGTACAGGCCCAGTCAAAGAGGTTCTGTGCAAATCTCATTTTGTAGTTGTAGTATTCATCTCCTCTTTTGCGCACTGTAGTGTCCTTCCATTCCTCAAACCATTCATACTTCACCATCGTCAGTATTGTCATGCAAGATTTTCCTGTGAACATGAAACACGCAAAACATCACATCTAATCTGTATGGACACTCACACAGTGTGATATTTAGTATGATGTTCTAGTAGTAATACATCTTTAAAAAACGTTTCTTTATCTTTAATTTTAGCATATTTTTTCTTTTGAACACAATTTTCTCTTACTACAATTATTAGCAACAATAGAAAAAGTAGTGGGTGTTTGTACCAGGGTGTCTTATTTTGGATTCTGGGTCTTTGGAAGATGGCATTGTGATGAACATCATGGGAATATTATCCGGTGCCTCCTCTTTACTCAATGCAAAGAAGTCTTCCATTCTGAAAGAAAACATGAAAATGTTTGGATACTGATCATCATTGTTCAGTTAGAGCGGTCCTGGCTGCTTTTATCAGCAGTGTGGCCACACATAAAAGAATGCATGGGGATGGTATTTAAATCCTGAATCTGAAACCTGACTGATCCTGCACTCCATCTAGAGGACAAAACAGGGAACTCTATCTTGTTCACTGAATAAGCCACATACTGTAATATACAGTATCTTTATGTAAGGCTTAGTAAATCTTTAGATACATAGTGTGTTTTATTTTGGAAGAAATAAGAAAAAGCTGACCCACAAGAAAAATGATAAATGTTAATGTTCCTGGGAACAAGCCTACACCGAGAAGTTAGTCTCGCCTCTGGGCATTTATTCCATTTCTACTTCTAATACAATCGCACCCCCTTGTGGAAACTGAATGCTACCTCTGTCCAGTGTGATCAGTGCTTTGCATACTTACGACTTGTCCATATCATTGTTTTTGAACAGCCAGAAGTTGGTGGACTCGAGACCCAACTCCTCTTCAGTTCCATCAAAGCCAGAGAAGACCAAGAACGATCCTCTGCCATGTTTCATCATGTTCAGTCTTTCCTGAATATCTATAATATGGGAAGGGTTATGATCAGCTTGAAACTTCACTCTTTCACAATAAAATGTGATATATTTTAGAATTCATCCATTTGGGAAAAGAAAAGGGATCTGTTGCTCACTCACCTGTCTTGACTTTGATCTCGGGGGGCAGAAGTTTCTGGAAGGTGGTAAAGATGCCACAATTTGACACAACCACAGGTGCATGAACTTCCACTTCCTCCTGACCTTTCCTTACTTTCACCCCTGCCACATGGTGCACAAAGGAAGTCTACAGTCAGTTACCTGGAGAGTATCTTGCCATTAAACAGGTGAAAAATGAGCTGGAATCATTTCTTACCATAAGCCGCTCCCTTCTCATTAACAAGGATCTGGGAGACAGGAGCTCTGACCAGACAGTTTCCTCCATATTTCTGAATGGTGCGGATAATGTGGAAGGCGATCTCACTGGCACCACCTTTGGGGTAGTAGGCACCTCGTTTGTAGTGATGAACCAGGAGGGCATTGATCAAAACACTGGAGTCCTTTGGAGGCACGCCTAAATATACACAGAATGAAGGCTTAATTATTTCTTAATTATTATTCTATTATAATTATTTTTCAAAATCATATACTCATCTTGTTGATCCAGCAATCCCCCAGTCAAAAGTCATTCAGTATAACTAATCAGCCCTATGTCAGGGCTTGTAATCCTTTAAAAGTTTAAAAATTCAGTACAGATGATAATTAAGGCTCAAAAAAAGTTTAAGAAGACTCATAAGTATAGATTTAGTTTATAACTTAGCCACATATACTATTTAAACAGTGTAGTCTAAAACTGTTGAGAAAGTTTCATGTTTTGCATTGTTTTGGCCCCATGCTGGGGCACATTGGAGTGTTAACTTTCAGCTTTAATTCAAGGTGTTTATACTCATATTGTGAACTCATGGCACCTGTAGTTCTTTTTCTGTATAGTTCCCCAGAGAGTTTTTTGTTTATAACCAAAGAGCAGGATATTTGTCACTGACCAAGTCAATCCTATGACCTCAATGCAACAGAGTATATTTCACTTTCTGAAGACTGAACTGGACTGACATGGTTTTGTAATTTTTTGAGGACCCACCATAGAAAAGATAGGAGAAGATGACATGGAGATCCTTGTTGCTGGTCAGGGTGTTCACAAAGTCCGTTGCGCCTGTGCCAGTGAGGCGGAAGACAGGGGAGATGAGGTTTGCGATGCCTGACTTCAACAGGAATAAAGACACCCACTGCGGGATCAGCTTTAAGGTGGCCAGGTAGTGGGTCTTTTTAGCTGAGACCTGTCAGAATACAGAAGATAATTCATAGAAATCATAGTTTTGTTGTTTTCGATTTAGACACACTGAAATATGTCTCCACTAGCTGACAGTACCTTCATGATTTTGAAGAATGCCTCGATGGCCTCTGTGTCATCGGGGAATTGCTTCATCAGATGGGCTTGCATCTCAGTTTTACCGGAGAAGATTGTGTACTCTCGTTTCTCATCACCCATGCCAATCTGGATGGTGTCAAAGTGTTGATTTAGCTCCTGGAACTCCAGCTGGCCCTCAGAGAGCTGGTCGAAGGCGATACGCAACAGACTGTTCTCATGGATCTGACCAATGTAGTGAAGCCCTGGAGAAGACCGGGAAACAGGAACAGGGTCATTTCATGTACATTTTGATTATTTCTCAAGTCACACCAGGGAGATAAATAGTCATCACAACATCCATAAATACCCAATACATTACTCAGTACCTAATACATGTGCATCGTTCCTTTTGAGGTTGCATTGTACAGAAATGTATCTTTTATAGGACTTATTCTACTTTACTACTCTACTACTGTCTTAACTATTCAAAAGGAAGAAAGTATGTTTGGGGCATATTTCATGGATTGAAGTATCACAGCTAGAGCTAAAACAATTAGTGGCATAATTTAGTAGTCGATCGGCAGAAAATGAATTGCCAACTTTTTGTCAGATCCATAATTTTTCTGGCAAAATGCCAAACTTCCCTGCAGGCTCTGAATTGTGAGGGGTTCCTGCTTTTCTTCATCATATGTGATAGTTAACTTAGTGTGTTTAGATTTTAGACATTTGTTTGGACAAATTAAGTGATCTGAAGCCATAACCTTGAGTTCTGGGAAATTGAGATTGGGAAAATGTGTTATTTTTATTAAATATTTGACTGATTATTCACTAAGAACAATAGTTGTTATTTGCAGCCTATTACTCTCAGCAGTCAACCAGGCTTTCTTCCTTCTGACAAAATCTGAATCAGGATTTTGTTGCTCCAGGACCTGCCACCAATGTTCCAAATGTCCCCTCTGAAAATGAATGTCTGATTATTAACTATAACTACAAAGAAAGCCATTAATTTATATTATATTATATTATTTATTAATAAGTAAGTGTGTGTCACGTAACTTAAGAGTACTCTTACCAACATCAAACTCAAAGCCTTTCTCTAAGTAAGTGTGGCAGCAGCCTCCTGCCTGGTCATGTTGTTCCAGCACCAGGACTCTCTTCCCTGCTTTGGCCAGTGTGGCTCCAGCTGTCAGCCCACCAATACCGCTCCCAATGACAATGACATCCAGGTTCTGGGGCACTTTGTCAAGGCTGAAACCTGGAGAGAAACATACAGAGCTGACGTCAACGTGGTCAAATGTATGGTTCCACTTCAGACAGGTTTAATAAAGATGCACTGTAAACGTTATCTCGAGCAAGTGCTGAAACAAACATCAAAATATGTTGCATAACTGGGTTTCATAATAGTTTGAAGGTTGTACTGCACACCTTTCCTGTCATAAACACATAGCTGCTGAACTAATTCCTATATATTTGTTCTGCTGTTGGCAATAAACAGTAGATAAGACAGCAAATATAATCTCCTAGTCATAATCTAATTAAGATAAAGCACACTGATGAAAAATAATTACTGTAATTCTGCTAATTTAGGTCTTATCTAAACTCTAATCTAGTAATGACACGACAAACAGATAATTTAGATAAGATGTATCAGCACACCTCAGCAGTTGTAAGAACTACAGAGAATTATTTCTATCTACACTATCCTTTTACCAATATATGTTTACAGCCTTCTCTTTAAACTACTTCTGATAGGTTAACTTTTGTTAAGGTATTTACAACCTTCCCAAAATTTATTTGCACTCCTGTCAAGGGACAGTTTTAGTGCAATTTCACGTTCAAGTCCCCCTCCAGTCAAAATATGTTTTTCTTCCTGTTCCTGCAGTTGGATGCACAATGATACCATGATGTTTGTGCAGAATTTTACACTAGGAGGAGTTTTTGTTTGATGAGTAGACATAGTAGATGTCTTTGTACAGATTTTAAAGTGAAAACAGACACTGATCCAAGCAGACTATTTGTATGTCTTATTACATGTCTGGAGGGGATATTTAATTATTGCACAATGTGAAAAAGACGGACTAACAAGCTTTTATGCTGAACCCAGTTGAATTTAAAATCAGGATAGCCAAGAATAGCATTAAGGTTACAGCCAGCAGCAAGTTAAAGTAAGCTTAACACTTAGCACTTGGAGTGGCGACAGGGGAAATACAGCTGGCCCGACTCAGTTTGATGGGAGCTATAACAAAATCCAATATCACTATCTTACACATCTTAAGCTCACTACTCAGATAGCTAACATGTTATATCGGGTTCATTTAATTTGTACAAAAACTAAAGCGTAAATAAACAAAATGAGCTGTTTTACTGGGGTACAGGAGAATGGTAGCGGTTGCCGTGCAACCAGTGGAGACTCCAGGAAGTTAGGCCTGATACTGTCGAACCTGTTATATAATGTTCACAAATTAAAATGAAAATTTCACTTTCACGTAAAGGATGATTTAGCTGTTCTAGTTTTAAATTTGAATTAAAAAATTCTCACACTAAAGCACTCACATATTGTACTTTAATTGTTACGTGATTCGTTTTTTGGGATTTTGTTATAATAAGTTAAATAATTTGTATTTTGTTTTTTCCTTTTTGTTTTGGTGGCTGGTGTTATATAGAATATATATAATATATATTATATTTATATTCTATATTTATATAATATATAAATATAGAGAACTCATATCAACATGTAAGTAAATAATATTTGTTATACAGTATATCCAATAGAAGAGAAAGAAGCAAATATTGTACAAATCTGTAATTTATATTCTTGAGTGTGCATTCTTCCTAAGAGAATAGGTATCAGAAAAGGTTTACGTTTACTGTTGTCATACCTTATCATATTAATATAACATTGTAATTTTTAAATGTATTGACTCTTGTTAAATTATCTACCAACAGAGCTCATCAGCCTTAACTGGAAGAAAATATACTTTAGCTTTATCAAAGCATTGCATCACATTGCCAATTAATTGTGATGTTGCATACAAGCATTTTTAAATCCAATAATTTCACCTCGCTTGATGACTTTGTCCCGCTTCTTCTGATCCATCTCTCGAGGTCCAGGGGGTCTCACTGACTCCAAGGAGAAAGGGCTCGGTTTCCCAAATAGGTACCAGTATGTGCCACCGGCCCATATCACTAACCAGATTAAGAAAATCAAGAGCCACATGATTGAGACAATCAAATCACTATATCTGTCTAGATCTTCTGTAGCAGTGTAGTGTTCACAGCAGCAGTTTTATTGTGAATGCTGCTCTCCTCATGAGGCTCCTTTTATCAAGTGCCAAAGCCAAAGGTCTGGAGGAGAGGGGCTGGAGTTTGATATATAACAGTACTTATGTTATGACAAGCAATAAAGATAAAGTGATGAAAGATGACGGTGCACAAATCCCAATAATGGTATGGTGTCCAAGCTGGCACACAGTTACATTTAGACAAAAGCTCGTTGCTAAGCATTCATTTGGTGCACGGACAAAAACATCAAAATGGAATAATGGCTCCTTTTTAACCCTCTATTGATTTGGCTTTAGTTTACTTGTTCTCAGAGAAAATCTTTTAAAACCACTATGAGATGCACTATTCTATAAACATAAACAGTGTTAGGAATCTACATAATATTTGAAAGTCAATAGTTTTAAAAGGAAACACAAAGTTCCACTGCCTGTTCAGGTGTCTAATATACAGTCTAAAGGTTACAAGACATTTTGTTTTCCTCCTGTATGTAGTATCATTTTTCAGTCATTCCATGAGTTTAGTGGAAACCTGCAAAGATTAGATACAGTAAGTTCGCAATTGCTATTATCTGATAAGGCAATTAAGATAAAGTATAGGCTACACTATGGACAAGTCATCCTAGACTTTACACATGAAGTGTCCAGTTGTATGGCTTTATAACAGTGCTGAGTGAAATTACTGAGTTTCAGCATTTCAAGTCCGATAAGGACAAAGTTGGAGTCCTTGGAGAAGCATAGGGCCCCGACCCACTATCATTTTATGTAGTCCATGCATGGACTTTGTGCTCAAGTTATATACTAATTCAGTTGACTTTGAGCCATACACTTAATCTGAAGCCAGCGATAACGTGAACCAGAACAAGTCATGTTGGTACATTGGTTTTCAATTTCCTGAATTTTCAGAGATAAAATTGAAAGAAAGAAAAGGGTAATATTTCAGCCCATCTTTTTTCTATTTTCAATGGAAACAGGTGTTTAAAGGGTTTAGATGCCTCAGTTCCAGTTCATGGTATTGAAATATCATGAACCACAATAACCACACCACAACAAATTCATAGACGAATACTTCTATTCTTTTTTTTATTTGAAAATGTATATGTAGTTCTAGATAAACAGATTATGTTTTGTGTCGTCTCCACCTCGGAATTTATATATGTGAACAAAGTTAACATCATAATTTATAGATTGTTTATTATTTATGATTGATTATAAAATTGTCATTAATTGTTTTACTACACTCAATGGTTTTACTACACTCACTGCACTGCACTGAAATAACATCCGACAATGCCAATCTGACTCATGACAGAAATATCTAAATCCATGCAGCAGAACCAGATTAGCACACATTCTTGATCCTTGTCAAAACCTTAGTCAGGAGCGGCAGGCGTGAGAAGTCTGGTAAACTCACGCCTTTCTCCACACCCTCAGATTTTTTTTCTTTCCAAACTTAGAGTCTTCACACAGGCTGACTCAAGTTACATCACTTCACAATTTATCAGTTTTCATGCAACTCCCTCTGGAGCAATAAAAGGCTTTATACAACTTTTTTGTACTTTTAATTACATATTTACAATTACAGAACATGTTATATTTCATGTCTGAATCAGGGTGCCTGTACATGCATCCTCTTTCTTAGCATCCGTTGCCCTTTAACTGAAGCAGGGCGTTTAAAGTTTAGAGGTGGTTTGGCATCTGAGACGAGCTAAAAATTGGACCTTGACGTAAAATATTGATAAATCACCATGGCACTCTAAACGATAAGTCATCATAAGTAGGTCACAGTATACTTGGGTACAAAGGTGCTGATATGTGCTGCCTAAGGTCATTGGAATGAAAAAGGTTTAATGCAGCATGAATTGCCGTTTGTGTTTGTTTTGTAAATTTTTACAAGCGACAGTTGTGTTGCAAATGTTGAACAAATTCTGCGTATGCGTTGCCCTGGCTGAAAATGACACTAATTGGATGGAGAGCTCAAAATGGAAGCCGGGATGAAGCCGCTGGAATGAGCTTAAAGACTTTGATACAGGAAGCAGCTCTGTGTCAACAGGCCTGTTGACCGACTGTGCTGCAGCAAAGAAATCCTATTAAGAATTACACTAAGCAGAAGCTGCACGACTCCTGTGACTTTGGTCTGCTTTGTACAGTATCACAATTGAGTGTAATGTTGACTTCTGCTGATTTGCAGTCAGAGATGTTGGACACCAAACAATATGCAGTCAAACCTATTGAATATTAACCAGTATGATAGATTGAGATGAAAGTGCAATAGGAGTGCAATAAATGTAAGATATGTGGATGTATGGCAATAATGAGAGAAACCAGATCAGGTGAAAGCTTTGTACAGCTATTTGAATTTAATTACAAATTCACAAAGAAACATTTTTATATCAACAGGTACATCCAGTGATGGAAAAGGGTCTCACTACTGGTTGCAATAACATTACAGATCTTAGTTGTCTTACCACTGTACATTTTATTCACAAGAATTCTACAGGAACATTACAGAAATGTAACCGGCTCTCATAAAAAACATTGTGACTTTTCCCTGGATGTCTATATGCTATGTTATTATACAGCCTCCCTTTTCTCCCTTGTAGGGGTTCTTGTCATCTGGAACGCCCTTAATCAGCGGGTCATTTGGTAACATCTCCTCAACAAAAGCAATTGTTTCTGCACAGTTTGCACCCACCTGTTGTTCAGAGGAAAGATTAAAACAAATGTAAGCTTGGCAAAGCAATTTGTTTTTTCACAGGCATAAAGATGGAAATTAATTATTTAAATCTTCGTGCTAAAAAAATAATTAAGCATTTAACTATCTTAACTGTTTTCCACGTTCTTTTAATATAATACAGGCTTTTGGTTGCTTAAATTAAACATAATAATCACAATTGATGGCAAGAAAATATTACTTTTTTTTTTTTTAAAAAGAGGTAATTTACTTACTGGTGTCCTAGCTGTGCTAACTTCCTTCTTCAACTGTTCAAGCTCCATTTTCAGGATTTCCTTATCTGACATATCCCGAGCCATCCTGGCTGTAAGAGGAGATCAAGATCAAAACGTTGAAATGTCACAAAAAACAAAGAAACAAGCAAACGCTCATAAAATAAATGTAAATCCAGCATACACAAATGTCTGAGTCATCAGTCTTTACCTGTTGAATGGCGGGGTCCCCAACAATCAGAGAAAAGAGTTGGCTCCTAAGAGCTCAACGACTGTATGCCTTTGACTTGTCTGGTCGCTTCTTCACACTGACTGATCTGCGCTGTCCCACTGCTCTTCATCCCAGCTGATCCCTGCTGCTGGCTTTTGGGAGAGGCCGGCAAAGGATTGGACCTGATGTCACCAATCCCCCGTGATGAGATTAAACAATCAGGAGCCATAACCCCTGAACAGGAAGGAGGAAGGGACGAGAACACAGATCCTTAAAGATCTTAGTGGAGAAAGTGAGACACTGAAATAGAAATGATAGATGTGTGAACATCACATCATCCATTGCTAACTGTAAGCTGTGGTGCACATACCTTAATACAGTATAAGCTGTGGCGGTGTATGTCAATTCAGTGAAAAAAAAGAGTATCAGCTATAAAGATGTATGTATATGGTAGCAGCTGGGTTCATTGTGTTTAGAAAAATATAGGCATAGGACCTTGTGCAGAGAGGAAAGAGGCCGAGTCTTCCACCACTGATTTATAGATAGATAGATAGATTGCGGGGTTTTATTGAAATGGACGTTGTAGAATTTTTGCAACGTTAGAATAAAAACTTGCAGGATTTTAAGCATCAAATATTTAACAATAACACTACCATTCCATGCATTCAGTATTACCACCATTCTTTGCCAACTTACAACTCTTTGCACCTTTACCTAACTATTTTTATCTTTTTTTTATCTTTTCTATCTAAGTATTTATTCTATTTGTTGTATTTTTATTGTATTTTTAATGCTACCTGGCCTGCTATTGACAAACCCAATTTTACCCTTGTTTATCTTAATCTATCCTATTCTATCTATCTATGCTTATTCTATCATCATCTATCTATCTATTATTTCTATCCTATCTATTCTATCT